AAACCTTATCTAGAGATATTTTTCTTGATCTGTTATGTATAATTTGTCAGTAGATTGTAGGAATAATATGGTTCCCTCTGGTTTTCGTGACTAGCTAGGCATTGTTTCTCTCTTGTATCGTCTCCCCACTCTATCATGGTTTTCCCACTTAAAAGACATTTTAAATAGGGCTCTCTGTTGTATGAAGAGCCACTATTTGTGGACTGTTAAACTGCAAGCATCCATCCGTGCATTGTGTGTATTTATGAATTCAGCCTGTACTGTCTTTCTGTCACGTTTGAAACAGCTGGACTATAAGAGGCAATATGAAGCCAACAAAGCCTATTGGAAGTGGATACCTGATCGCCCAGACTTCATCCAGGCTGCCAAGTCATCACTACAGCAAAGCGACGTAAGAAAGGAGTCAGACATGGGGCTGTCCCATACCGACTGTCAGGATACTAACCCTACTTCATCTGAAGTTCAAGTAGAAGGAGGGTTGAGGGGAGAAGCAAGCTTATGAAGCAAACCCAGCTGCTAAGGCTGCTCTCTGACTGCTGGGCCCAGACATCGAGGGCTCAGAGTCCTGATGCTAGATAGGGCCTGGCTAGGAAGTCTGAGTCTGGTCCTGGTCCCTGGGCTGGAAGGGAGGAGTCCAGCATGTGGTAAAAGTCACCCCCACTCTGGGAATGGTTGTCCCCTTTAAAACCCCCCTCTCTGACTTAATCAAATGACCTGTTTCCTCTGTTTTTTCTGTCATAGTTTGAATATAAGCTGGACCGAGAGTTCCTCAAAGGCTGCAAGCTTTCTGTCACTGACGATAAGGACATGGTGCTGGCCCTCAGGAACTCTTTAATAGAAAGTGATGTAAGTATCTGGTAAAGGAGGGATGGACATGTTTCCAGGGCCGAATGACATACTCAAGAATGCTTTGAACTAAAGTCTAGCTCTGCAAAGATCCACCATGAGATTTTCATTCTTATTAAAACCTCAACCTGAAAGTTATAAGGAAAATGCCCCTTTGAATATTTCCCAGAATTTCTAAGCATCAAATCCTTTACTGTGTGTAGTGTGCCTCATTTTTCCATGGTACTGTTCTCTCCACTATGATGTAGTGATTGGGGGCAGAACAAAGATGTTCAAGATACTTGAGGTAAATAAATGCCTCCTCTCTTTCTACCCCCACAGCTGAAATACAAAGAGAAACACGTTAAAGAAAGAGGAACGTGTCATGCTGTGCCTGACACCCCACAGATCCTCCTGGCAAAGACTGTCAGCAATCTGGTGTCTGAGGTAACCCTCCCCCAGACCATATGCTTTACTTCTGTCTCAAACTGTGGCCCCAGGCAGAGTCCTTAACAAACTCTCTGTGGATTCCCTTAGAACAAGTACAAGGACCATGTCAAGAAGCACCTGGCCCAGGGCTCATACACAACACTGCCAGAGACCCGGGACACAGTTCACGTCAAGGCAGTAACCAAGCATGTCAGTGATGTAAGTGGCCAGTCACAGAGCTGTTGATGGCAGCCATGGATTAAGTGAAAGACTACTATCTTTCTGTTTATAAATGCTTCCCTTTAGGTAACACCGCTCAGTATGAATACCTGTTTATGAATCCTAAACTCTCGCTTAAAAATGCAGTATTTATTGGTATCCAGTTGTGGCAGTTACAGCATATGTAGGTGTTCTGGTTTACTTTCTCTTGCTGTGATAAACAACATAACCAAAACCAAAAGCAACTTGGGGAGGAAAGGGTTTATTTAGCTTACACTTCCAGGTCATTCCATCACTGACAAAGTCAGGGCAGAAACTCAAGCAGGGCAGGAACTTAAAGGTTAGAAACTATGGAGGAATGCTGCCTACTGGCTCGCTCCCAAGTTCACGTTCAGCTACCTTTTTTAAATAGCTTGGATCCACCTGCCCAGGGATGGGGTAGCCCACAGTGGACTGGACCCTCATGCATCAATTAGCAATCAAGAAAATGCCCCACAGACTTGCCCACAAGCCAGCCTTACAGAGGCAATTCTCCAGTTGAGACTTGTCTCAGGTAACTCTGGGCTGTGTCAAATTGACAGCTGAAGCTAACTAATAGGGTAGGTTTTGCTACAGGGCATATTTTCAGGCAACATAAAGAGTAACTAAGTTTAATAATGGAAGAGAAAAGTACCAATCAAGAGTGGCCTCTCTTTATCATTAAGCTGTTATACAGTTTTAAGCCAGAATCGCGTTGTGCACTTCAGTAATCTCTGCCCGTTGCATCCTTGTCAGTAGTGCTGCAGTGATCATAGCCCATGAATCTCCGATGATTTGTGTATTTTTTAAAAGATAAGGGCTATAGCTGGGCGTGGTGGCACACGCCTTGAATCCCAGCACTCGGGAGGCAGAGGCAGGCAGATCTTTGTGAGTTCGAGGCCAGCCTGGTCTACATAGTGAGTTCTAGGACAGCTGGGACAACAGGGAGACCCTGTCTCAAAAAGACAAAAAAAAAAAAGATAAGGGCTAGGAATAATATTCAGTTGAACATTCAGTTTTCCAAAGCTTGCTGTTTGATTCTAGCATTGGATTCCAATGCAGAAAAGACAAGGAAAAAGTAAGATATGAGCCAAAGATCACAGTCCTAAACTGATACCACCATGGGAGCCATGGATTTTCCTGGAGCTCTTCTCAGAGTTCTTCAAGTAAATCAGTTTTCTTCCTGCCTTCCTCTGTTCACATGAGTGATTCTGACTCTGTTTAGACAAATTACAAAAAGAAGTTTGTCAAAGAGAAAGGGAAGTCCAACTACTCCATCATGCAGGAGCCTCCAGAAGTGAAACACGCAATGGAAGTGGCCAAAAAGCAGAGTGACGTATGTTCCCCCTCAGTATCCCCAGGGGCTCACTGGAGGTGGTGGACCCCAAACGGGCGCATGCTCTTGCTCTAGTGATTTCTCTGGAAGTTTAAAAAGTATAGTGGTGGGAATTGGCTTTGTTTTGCTTACCCAAAGGTTGCTTGTGCTTAATGAGGAGTTTTGGAAAGACTGTATCTCAAGTAAGCATTTCCTTCTTCCAAATAAAGGTCGCTTATAAAAAAGATGCCAAAGAGAATCTACATTACACCACAGTGGCTGACCGACCAGACATCAAGAAGGCCACACAGGCAGCCAAACAGGCCAGTGAGGTAAGAGTGTCATTAGAATGTCCCTGGTCCCAAACAGCTATTGTAAACAAGTAGTGCAGGTGTTCATCATCAAGACCGAACTGCCCATTTTGGTTTTCTCTACTACAGGTGGAGTACAGAGCCAAGCACCGTAAGGAAGGCAGCCATGGGTTAAGCATGCTTGGCCGCCCAGACATTGAGATGGCCAAGAAGGCAGCGAAGCTGAGCAGCCAGGTAATGCAGAAGGGCAAGCAATGCCAGTGTGAGGGATTTTAGAAACTGGACAGTGAGAAGTGAGTCCCAGAAAGAAAGCAATATCAGCAACCAAAGCGATACTGGGTCTTCTACTGTATTGCGGCACTTTGAAACACACTGAGGACCCTGACTCATTTCCTTCCAAGGAGTCTAGGCCTCTCCTATCTTCTGCATTTTCATTTAAGAGTATGCATCCAGCTGCCTGTATACTTAGCCACTATCACATGACCATGGGGACCTCTTCCCAGGCAATAGGATTTATATCGAGAGAGTCTGATTCATACTTGAGTCACCTAGGAGAGACTTGTTAACGTGCAACGGTCATGAAACTCTAACTTCTAAAACCCAACCACATGAAGAAACTTTATTCTTATATTCAGTATATTGAAAGTCTGTCTCAGTATCCCTGACTAGGGATGAGCAAATGTCTTCTGATTCTCATCTCTGCAGATGAATAATTATTACCTGCTGTGACCAGTGCTTGGTCAAGGAATGCACAGGGTATTGGGGAGAATGTTTCATTCTAGCAGAATTTGTATAACTGAGAAGATAGGCCCAGAAATGTGCTGCCCAAAGCTGACTACCAGATATCCCACAATTTCCGTTATTAGATCATTTATCTGCAATGCCTTCAATTTTAGACAGGTTTTCAGACATTATAGCTCAGAGACCCCATGATCTATCACCAGCTCTCTTGGAGGGCGACTTGTGGTCTCATAGGACTTCAGATCATGAATATTCTGTCTCTTCCAGTTGGGAAATCCTGTCTTCATCTTCTTCATTGTTCATTCTCTTCAACTTTTTGTTTGAAGAACTAGTACAGATTCATTTGGTTGTTGTGTATACTGGCTTCCAGAAATACCAAACACAGGATCCATTTAAGACCAAGACACAAAATGACTAACAAAAATTGAAATTTCTTAGTGAAATATAACAAGAACTTAAAAATATTTTTAAAAAGTTTTTTGGTCTTTTTTGAGACAGGGTCTCCTTGTAGCCCCAGCTGACCTGGAACTCACTACATAGACCAGGCTGGCCTTGAACTCACAGAGATCCACCAGCCTCTGCCTCCTGAGGGCTGGGATTAAAGGTGTGTGCCACTGTGCCCAACATAAAAAATATGAAAAATTTTAATGTTAGCTGGGCATGGTAGTGCATGGCTTTAATCCCAGCCCTTGGGAGGCAGAGGCAGGTGGATGTCTGTGAGTTCGAGGCCAGCCTAATCTACATAGCAAATCTAGGCCAGCTGTGGCTACAAGGAAAACCTGTCTCAAAAGGACCCCCAAAAAAATTTTTTTAGTGGTTTTAAATCTATAAGATTATACTCTCTATTGAGTTAAAAACCAAGATAAGATTTTGGTATTGAAATTTTGAAGACTTCAGTGCTTTTGAAAATCAAGAGGCCCATATTTCAAATCCTAAGTGAATCCTATGTTATAAAGAATGGGATCTAACTAGATCCCTTGATGAGCTCCTCTTCCTGGCTTACCTCCTATGAAAGACTTCCTTCAGGCTGGAAAGTTCCTGGAGTAGCCCCTGTCCCAAGGGACCTCAACCATGGGTAGGCTCCCCCATTCTGACTTTGTTATATTGCTACACACCCTAGGTGGAATACCTCAAGGGCTACATGGTGCATATCTTATGCACCCTATGGTGAGGCATCTAAAGAAAATTAATACTTATCAGTTACATAAGACTGATGCCAGCAAACCAGCATCTTTCTCCTTTTCTTGTCTACTTTCCTGGCCCTGCTCAGGGGACTGACCAAGTTACTCCTTTCTCTGTCTACTTTGTGTTGAAACGTGTAGAATGCTGTAGAGGTTTGTTGAAAGACATGCTTTTGCATATATCCTCATTCCCTGCTAGAAACACTTGGAACAAGTTGTTAAAATGTTTTTCCTTGTATTTTTCTCATCCTTTGTGAAAAACAAGTCTTCATAGCAAAATATTTTCTAATTGGGGACTGTTTTTCAGTCTTTATAAGCACCAATATGTAACTCAATACCCTGAAAAAGAACTCCACAATTAGACATTACACCATTAGGAACAATTACTTTAGAAAGAAAACGAATTCATAAACACTTCCCTGTGCTGCATCTAGAGTGGGCCCAATATCTGAGCCTGATGGAATAAAGAGCCCAGGTTCTGCCCCTTGCTGGTTGGTCCATGTCACAACTACCCCAAAGGCCTTCATGGTTAACTAGAAAATGCAGAGTTTACAGTTCCAAATGACCCAAGTATGCAGTATACCACCCCTACCACCCAGCCCAACACCATCCTCCCAGCTCCTGAAGTTTTGACTCATGTGCGCCCATGTCTTTCAAGATGTGATGTGAAGATCCAGTTAAAGGCTCATATTAGCAGTTATGTTAGATTACATTTTCCTGGGAGCCTTCTTAAGGAAAGAGGAGTAAAATGTTTTTTACTTAAAACATTGGAAATCTAAGTAAACATGAAATTAACTTAGTATAAAGTGAAACCAGAGAAATTGTTGCTCTTTAAAATAAATATCTTCAGAAATCACTTGCTTTCTCAAAGACAGAAGACTTTTAGCATACTTCTGGAAGATTTTGTTCTCACTCTAGGTGGATCTCTGCCACACTCTCCCCAAGTCTAGACTTTGTAACTGGAGTGCTTTCTCTCCATGTCACAGCTTGGGGCTCCTCCTAGTCTTCTGAGTTTCTAAACCCTAAGAACTTGCCTTTTGGTTTAGACACCAACTCCTCCTACTCTGACTTTCCTTCTGCAGGGTTTCTGTTTCTTTGAGAGTGAACCTCTTTTGGAGCAGAGCCCCTGTAGCAACCCCCTACATCTTGTTTTCCTGGGACGTGGCTTTGCCTTCTGTGCCTGTGTGCGGTCAGTGGTCTCTGGTACCCTGTGCAACCTCTCCCTCTGCCTCCTGCTTGGGATGCAGAGTACATGAGTTCTAGTACTGTGAAGTCATCTTCTCCCATGTGGCAGGTTTCGCTGTTTTTAGCCTTTGAACTGTCTCTTTTTGTGTCTGTTCTGCTGAACATGTCAAGTTGTGGGAAAGCACACTGGTAAAGTACGAGGGGCCCTTTTTTTAAATCCGGCAGAGTGAGATATCCTAGTGTGCTGACCATAGGTGACCAAGACTTCCATCTTACCAACTCTAGGTTCCCCTAAGAGTCGGTCATTGCCCTTTTAGTTAGTCTAACCTGTAGTAAGAGTGAATGGCTGCTGGAATTCTCCTTCTGGATTTCATCCTCTAATATTACTAAGACATCAATCTGTTTTTCAATAAGGAAAAATTTCTGCCACTTGTCAAAGTATGTCATCTTTACATATGCATAATGATGGTCTCTTCCTTTCATTTATTCAACTCATATTTAATGAGCAACTGTTAGTGTGAGGCACTGTGCTTCTTAAATTGATACTACTTAACTCTTTTCATAACCTTTACTGTCCTTACTCTTGTGTACCCTGAAAATATAATGTATCTTACATTTCTTGTTATTCTAAAATGTCTCACTTTATCCTCATTTGAAATTTGATACTTGAAGCCATTAGTCACCAAACTTTGTTCACATATATGTATATATTTAATATCAAATTTTTATTGAATTTTTGTGAACTTCATATATCTTGATCATATTTAGAACCTCTCCCCATCTGTGCCCCATATACCCCCTGCCAGATTTCATGCACATTTATTAAGGCCTATCAAGCCACATTTGTATCCCCAGATATCCTCAGTGTGAGTCCATCCACTAGAGCCTAGTCAACCTATTTAGTGTCATCATTCCCTTAAAGAAAACCAACTCCCTCTACCAGTAGTCACCTGTTGCCATCCTTATACTTACAGACAAGTGTACGTCTTAACACTCATCATAGAAACTTCTTTTTGAGCCTGGTGTGGTGGCCACACCTTTAATGTCAGACAGAGGCAGGTGGAGCTTCGTGATACTGAGGTCAACCTGGCCCCCTGTCTCAAAAAGACCAGAAAAGAGAGAGAGAGAGAAAGAGAGAGAGAGAGAGAGAGAGAGAGAGAGAGAGAGGAGATATGACTTTTAGGAGTCAGTTCTTTCCTTCCACCCTGGGATCCTGGCATTGAACTCAGGCCATCAGGCTTGTACAACAAGCATTTTTACCCAGTGAGCCATCTCACTGGCCCCCAAACCTAAAAAAATTTAAATGATTTCTCAATGTGCAATTTAAAAATAATGTTAGCTTACCAAATTCTTATTCTCAATCCTTGATATCATTTACAACCTCTCTCTCAGTTTCTTATAGACCTAAGGTGGTTGGGGTTTGCTAGTTAGGAAAGTTTAAAAAATGGTCCAAATCAAGTGTATTAGCTTCTCTGAATTTAGTCAAAAAATTGTCTTAGAAAGAGGCTGTGTTTGTGCTGCTAGATAATGTAAAAAGCAAAGCCAGTACTATTATATATCACTTGATATTATGCCTGAGTGTTGCCCCAACATAATTATGAACAGTACCCCTTATACTCTTAAAACTGCCCCACCTGAGGGGCTGGGGAGGGGACTCAGCAGTTAATAGCTCTGGTTGCTCGAGAACCAGGGCTCGGTTCCTAGCACCTACAGGGTAGTTAACAACCATCTGTAACTCTAGTACCAGGGGATCTTATGCTCTCTTCTGGCCCCCGTGGACACTGAAGGCATGTGATACACTTAAATACATGCAAGAAAACACTCATGCACATAAACTAAAAATAAACAAATCCTTTGTTTTCTTTTTCTCTCTTTTGGTTTTTCAAGACAGGGTCTTCCTGTAGCCCCAGCTAGCCAGGAACTCTCTATGTAGACCAAGCTGGCCTCAATCTCTCAGAGATCCACCTGCCTCTGCTTCCCAAGTGCTGAGGTTAAAGGTGTGTGCCACCATGCCAGGTTTATAAATAAATCTTTTTTAAAAATGTAAAAATTGCATCACTTGGATAATAAATTGTATGACTATTTTATGTACTGCACAGGCATATTACTGTTTACATTTCCACCATTCCTCAGTTCATAAAGTGGTTGCTGCTCAGGAATGATTTGGATATCTGCATTTGTTGTTAGGTTAAATACCGAGAAAATTTTGACAAAGAGAAGGGCAAGACACCAAAATTTAATCCGAAAGACAGCCAGCTCTATAAAACAATGAAAGATGCTAACAATCTCGCAAGTGAGGTATGTTGTTTAATTATGGTAAAATATATAGCATACTGTTTGCCATTTTAACTGTATTTAATGATGTAATTCACATTCACAATGCCCTGTAACTACTACTATTTCCAAAACCTTTTAATTACCCAATCAAAATGTCTATAATCATTAAGCAATCCTCATCCCTGTAAGTTCCTGGTAACCTCTCTGTTTCTAGGAATTTGCCTATTTTATATAGATTTCATGTAAATGGGAGCCTGCAATATTTGTTTTTGTGTCTGAATTATTTTACTTAGTATAATATTTTAAATATTCAACCATATTCAAGCATGAATTGGAACTTCATTCCATTTTAGGGCTAAGTAATAGTTCATTGTGTTTATAGTACACTTTTGTTGTGGATGATATCCATTTGTCTCTTGGTGAACACTTGAGTGGTTTCTACCCCTTGGCCACATGTGATTTATTTTCACATCCATCTCAAGCATTGGTTTCATGAAGGGATATCTTACTGTAGTTCTGATTAGTGTTGTTTTCCATTTTCTTTTTATGTGATTTCCTTTTTTCCTCCTTTACAACTAGGTTAAATATAAGGCTGACCTGAAGAAACTTCACAAACCTGTGACTGATATGAAGGAATCTCTGATAATGCATCATGTCCTGAATACAAGCCAACTTGCCAGCTCTGTAAGCTCAGTCATTTGTTCTGGGAACAACTTCTTCCAACCATCTGCAGTTCTGTTCCCCTCTGAGCTCTTGTGGTCCCTGTCTTTCTCTGTCTCTCTGTCTCTGTCTCTGATTTCCTAATTCTCTCTCTCTCTTTCTCTTTCTCTCTGCTTTTCATGCTAAATTAATCACAAAATTCTTCTGTTTGCTGATACTCCTCCAAATTACAATATTAATCTTCCAATTTTCTGTTGAGTACCATGCCTTTCAGAATGTAAAAATGCTTCTACCTGGGCTGGGGATGTATATAGCTCAGTAGTGCTTGTTTAGAAAGCTCAGGGCCCTGGGTTTGATGCCAGGGGCAAAGCAGACAGCTTCTTCCTTCTAAGGACATAAAACTGCCATCTAATATAGTCTCTTTCATTTTCAACTTAAAATACCTACTTTGACGAATCCATTCAAGTGGAGTGTTTGCATCTAGTAATGCTGAACTCCAACTATTCAAACTTTTTCTTAACACTCTTCTCTATTTAATGTTTGCTGATTTTTATCTGGTCTTGAACATGCTATTGTGAAAGTGTCTAAAGAGGAAAAACTGAAATACTGATAGCTTTCCCCCCGATGTGTTTCTGTGCCCACTTCCCCTTAGTACCAGTACAAGAAGAACTACGAGAAGAATAAAGGCCACTACCACACAATACCTGACAACCTGGAGCAGCTGCACCTGAAAGAGGCCACAGAGTTACAGAGCATAGTAAGTTAATCAAGACTGGCTTCCCCACAGTCAGTGCGTACTCATCTACAACGTTGAAAGACCGTATAAATCCACTCTAGGAGCAATGCTTTTAATAGCCATTGTTTGAGAAAATGCTCAAAGGTGCTGGGACTTTGGATTTAGTAGTATTTTGAAATTATTATATGAACAACATTCGTATGGCGTAGAGGAAGAGGCATGCGGCACATTATTGAGGTCAGGACAGGGCTAGAAGCATAAAGTTATGTTCCAAAGAAAAACTTCCACAGTAACCCTGATGCGCCCTTTGGGTCTATGTCACAAGTCAGGAAACACCATGGATGACAGGGAGTCTTGGGAGGATTTTAACTGGATAAATGACATGGTCAGATCTGCCATTAAAGGAAAGAGTCTCTGAGCATTTGATAAATTCCTAAATTTGTGAAAAATGATTAAGATTATTTTTTTTTTCGAAAGAACAAATTTACAAGCATTATGGGGTCCCTTGAGCTACTAGAAGTGCTCTTGTGTCCTGTGTAAAGCAGTGTGCACCACTGCTGGGCAGTGTCCCTCAGGTTATGTGTGGTTGTCTTTCTGTTTCTCAATTTCTCCTTTGTGAAATATTCGTGTTTATATGACTCCCTTATTCCTAATCACATGTTGTAAGGGTGAGGTAATTTTTGTCTCTTTGAATCTAAATACTGATTGCTCTTTTCACACAGCAGTGATTCTCATCCCCACCCCAACCCCCATCTCCAGGCATCAACAAAAAGGCCTGGATCTTAAACACAACAGGAAAGTCCTTAGAGTGACAATGAGATGAGCCAACTGGACATAACGTATCAATTGAAAAGCCCTTTCCCTAGCTGGGTATAGTGGCCCATACTTGTAATCCCAGCACTCAGGAGACTCAAGGCCAACCTGTGCTTCATAGTGAAACCCTGTCTCAAAAAAAATAGTAGTGTATAAATAAATTCCTGTCCTTAAATTAGTCTCTGTCTAGGAATTAACGAGCGGAGAGATACTAACAAGACTTCTCATCACTAGGTGAAATACAAAGAAAAATATGAAAAGGAGAGAGGAAAGCCCATGTTGGACTTTGAGACACCAACATACATCACTGCCAAAGAGTCTCAGCAGATGCAGAGTGGGGTAAGTCCTACAAAAACACCATACAACAAAGATGCCATCAAACCTATGAACACCCAACTCTGCCGTAAATATTTCCAGCCTCCTGTTATCCAAAAGCAGTAGGAGGTGAAACTTTTTAATGTGTGATCAAAAAAATCTCATTGTAGAAGCTCTATAGTTTAGTTATTTTCTTTAAGACATTCTAAGTAGTATTTGTCATATATGTTTTATTTCAACATTTTTGTAAAATAAGAAGACTATAATTATTCCTAAAAATTGCTGAATGAAGTTCCTTCCACCCAAATGCATCCTTGCTTTGCGATGCTCTTAGTGGGATGCCCCAAGCCAAACAAAAGACCATCTGTACCTGCACACCCATGTTTATGCAGCACTGTTCACAACAGCCAACTCAGGCCATCAGCCTAGGTGCTCACCAGCGGATGAATGGACATGGAAACCTGATATATACCCAATGGAGTTCTACTGAGCCATTGAGGGAGGAAGTCATATCATTTGAAGGAGAATGGATGAAACTGGAGAGCATCTTCCTAAGTGAAATAAGCTAGACGCAGAAAAATGTCACTTGTTTTCTTTCATTTGCAGAATCTAGACTTTAAAAAAAAAAAAGACATGAAAGTATAAAAGGGACTATTTGGGAAGAAGACCAGGAGGGAAGATGGAGAGAAAGAGAAATGGGGTGGGGAGGGTGCAGATGTGATCAACAGTACAATATATACATGTGTGAAAAAAGTCAAAATGCCCTATTTCTTATTTCATAATTAAAAGTGGAGGTATTTTTAAAAATTAATCTTTTTTACTTTGAGCCATAAATGGAGAATGGAATTTTATTTGGAATCTCAGAAAGTCTGTTTCTTTGGAAAACAGGTTTATTTGGAATTCCTGACTCTCCTCCATGAGGCCTATCTCCAACGATAAAAACAAATGATATTTTAATAAAAGTAGCAGTTTGTGAGGTTTCCTAGTACACAAAATGCCAGATAATAGAAAATCTAAAACTGGTTCAAATAATTGGCGAATTTCTGAGAGTGTTTTGTTCTATTCTTGTAACTTTTCTGTGAATTTAAAATTCTATTAAGATAAATCATAAAAGCATACTTCTGACATCTATTCCCATGGGGTCTTTGTGACACAGTATAGTCCACAAGTTGGTTGGGGCCAGCTCCCATCACAACCTCAGACAGACTTTGGTGGGGGGCACCAAAGTACTTCTGAGTTTCTTTGGAGCCATTTGCTGCCCACAAAATGTTTCCAGAACAACCAGACTGTTTCAAATATGTGGCCATTATCAGAGGAGACGGAAGGAGGGAGGAGTAGTCCATTCTCTCCGTTGTGAATGAAATCACAGGATTCCTATGTTCCCATCTCACCACCCAGCATAATCTATTCAGTGATTAAAATAATAGGTCACAAGACACTTGCTGCTTCCCCTAGGGCCCAACAGGACATGACCTTGTGTCTGGTATTATAATATCAAGTGTGGGGCTGGAGAGTTGGCTCAGCAGTTAAAAACACTATTTGTTCTTGCAGAAGACCTGGGTTCGAATCCCAGAACCCACATGGTAGCTAACAACTGTCCGTAACTCCAGCTCTAGGGGATCCAGCAGCCTCTTCTGTCTTCCATGGGCATTGCATGGCATGGGTTCACTTACCTACACACAGGCAATACACGCATACACATAAAAAAATAAAAATAGTAAATATTTAAAAAAATAATATCAAGCATAACAGAGTGCTGGCACGTGGTAGGTGCTCTGTAAATGTTTGCTTATCAATGAAAAGGTACAGAAGAAGGACATGCTAGGTGTGATGACATAGGCCTATAAGTCAGCACTCAGGGGACTAAGGCAGGAGGATCATGAATTCAAAGCCAGCCTGCCCCATCTCAAAAGAAAATACAATAGGTCACGACTGTTAAAAAATGCCAAGTCTGCATTCAGCCACCTCAGTCTCTCTTTTTAAATTTTATCCACTTGAGCTACTTCAAATTCTGAAATAAAAATCTTTCATAACCTTAAAAGAAAAGAAGTGGGTCAGGGCTAGTGAGATGACTCAGTGGCTAAAAACACTGCTACACAAGTCTGATGACCGGAGTTCAAGCCCCAGGACCCACATGGTAGAAGGAGAGAACCAACTCGCTCAAGTTGTCTTCTGACCTTCACATGTATACCACGATATGAGTGTGCACACACACACACACACACACACACACACACACACACACACATCACAAACAGCGACAACAATAATAATTAATTTTTAAATAGGACATTTTCAGGAGAGATAATAGATTCTGAGTTGATGGTCTTCCATTCTTCCACCCTGGTTGGGGCCAGCTCCCATCACAACTTCAGACAGACTTTGGTGGGGGGCATCAAAGAACTTCTGAGTTTCTTTGGAGCCATTTGCTGCCAACAAAATGTTTCCAGAACAACCAGACCATTTCAAATGTGTGGCCATTATCAGAACTGTGATTAAGAGAACAAACACTGAGAAAAAAATGTAATTTTTTCTTTCTAGGATTGAAATATAAATTTTAATAGATTCTTTCTTATGTTTCCTTCCTACTCATATTAGAAAGAATATAGGAAAGAATATGAAGAGTCCATTAAAGGCAGAAACCTGACGGGCCTGGAGGTCACACCAGCTTTATTACATGTCAGACATGCAACCAAAATAGCAAGCGAGGTAGTGGCCACTTGGTCTTTTCCTCCCTATTGATCCAATAATCACACTAATGACACTCATCGGTGTGTTCCTGCCTGGGTTACCACCACCACCTAACTGCAGGCTTTCAGGTGGAGTTCACGTGTTTGATACTGCCTTCTAATCTACTACCCCTTTTAAGTCTTCTAATTTTTAAGTGGAATGTCTAATATAACATGCCTACTTTAGCATCCTATTAATTTCTTGTCTTGTATTTAATATTAACTGATGAAGCATATACCCTGCCTTTATTCACATCTTTACTTACTCAATGACAGAACTATTAAAAACTAGAAGAGTTATTTGTTAATTGATAATTAATTTTGGTTTGTGCTTTTGGCTATTCACCTAAGAGAATAATCCAAGCTTTCTTGTCAGTTTTGTTGCTTTTATTTTGTGACATAGAAAGAGTACAGGAAAGATCTAGAAGAAAGCATCCGTGGGAGGGGTCTCACTGAAATGGAAGATACTCCTGACATGCTGAGAGCAAAGAACGCCACTCAAATCCTCAATGAGGTAAGGCCGCAGCTAACTGCACGCACATAATGTGGTGCCTTCTTTCTACCCGAGTTATACCAAGAAAGAGAAATTTTGAATTTCAAATTTCATATCCAGAATAATTAATTATTAGCCACTAAATAAAATACATGTCAAATTCTGATGAGTAGATACATATCTGTAGCAGTTGTCATACCAATTATTTTTTGAATATTACTTGATCAGTCTTGATATATTTGGAATACTCATTTAAATGAAAACATCACACTACATTGGGGTCGTGTGCACCTAAATTCAATCCTAGCCATTTACCAAACCAGATTTAAAATTTGTGTTCTATTTTTGACTTTCTAATAAATGAATGATAAAGGTGTTCAAACAGATTTACACATTAATTCATATGACATCATAGAATAGGATATGTATGTCAACAAGCACGTCATCCTAGTGCATGGAACATTGGTTAACACTAGCAAGTCCATTTCCTGTGACCACTGAAGTGGCGTGCTATATGGATTCATATTTGTGACTGTTACCACCTACCAAGAGAAGTTAGGTGAACTTTTTTTCTTTTAAAAATAATTCTTGTACAGAAAGAATACAAACGAGACCTGGAACTGGAAGTCAAAGGCAGAGGCCTGAATGCCATGGCCAATGAAACTCCAGATTTTATGCGGGCCAAGAATGCTACTGACATTGCCAGTCAGGTCAGTGCCTCTATCTGAGTCCATCTTTCAAAAAAGGTAGTTGTGATTATAAGGACATAATATCTCCCTGTCATCTTACTCATTTGATAGTGACTTTGAATGTTCACAGTAGCATCCACAAACATCTGCTGAAATCTGTTCTATGAAAGGACCAGGGACCTTTGGCCAGACTGCTTCTGTGTGCCTTTCTGAGTCTAACTACTAGAGACATACAGAGCAAAGGGCAGAAATTGGGGAACCAAAGTGTTGCATGGAACTGGGGTAGACTCTGACATCCAGGTTTCTTAGTCAATCTGTTCCTTTTTTGCCACTAAGAATACCTTGCTTAGAATATTTTGGAGTTCTTTCTTTTCCTGCTTAAAAGCCTAAATTTAAATCACATCTGTAAAAGTTACATTTTGTTGCTGGGATAAAACACCACACCCAAAAGCAATTTATGGAAGAAAGTTTATTTTGGCTTGCAGTTCCAGAGGGGGAGTCCATAACGGCAAGGAAGGCATGACAGCAGATGGCCAGAGAGGGAGGCTAGCTGATTACATTTCCCTGCATACACAGGAAGTAGAGAGAGTGAGCTGGAAGTGGGGCAAAGCTATAAACACCCAAAGCCCACCCCCAGGCTTTTCTTCATTAAGCCTGTATCTCCTAAAGATTCCATAACTTCCCCCAATGGAGCCGCCAACTGGAAAACAAGTGTTCAAATACCCAAGTCTATGGAAGACACTTCTCATTCAAATCACTTTGTTTGGCCCCTTGGCTCATGGCCATCTCATGATGCAAAATGCATCCAGTCAAACTTTTAAAGTTCCCATAGTCTTTGTCAGTCTCAACACTGTTCAAAAGTCCAAAGTCTCTTTTCACACTCAAGGCGATCTCTTAACTGTAACTCCTGTAACATTTAAAACAGCAACACCAAAATTAAAAGCAAATTATATAATTCCAATATACAATGGGAACAAATATAAATTCCCATTCCAAAAGAGCGCAATCAGGGAAAAAAGTAAGGAAATATTGGACCAAAGCAAGACTAAAACCCAGCAGGGACAATGCCAATTTTGTAGCCCATGTCTGATCTGGGACTTTAGTTTCAAAAGGTTTAGATGGTTCAGCCTCTTCAGCTTTGCTGCCTGCAACATACCTCTTTCTGGAGCTGGCTCTACTTCCGGTATACAGCTTTCCTCGGCAGATGTCTCCCAGCTCTGGCATCTCCAACATCTCGGGGTCTCTACTGCAACCCAGTCTTTACTTTCACAACTTCATGCAAAGGTCTCTCAGCATCCTGGCCTCTCAGGGTCTTTTTGCAGGGACTCTAGTACTGCCACAGTTCTTAATGGCAGGGCAGGTATGGCAGCAGGTGGCCAGAGCAGGAAGCTGAAAGATCATATCTTCAACTGCAAACATGAAGCATAGAGAACAAACTGGAAGTGGGGTGGAACTATTAACTCTCAAAGATCACCCCCAGTGATATACTTTCTCCAGCAATGATGCACTTCCTGCAGATTCCATAACCACCACAGACAGCACCACCAATTGGGGACCTGAGCCTATGGAGGCTGTTGCTCATTCAAGCCACGACATCATCTTTTTTGTCGTATAGTGTTGTCTAGTGTTCATTGGTAGTCTTTTGCTCTTATTCTTCCTGCTCTTATGTAAACAGCCTATGCTTTATTATCTATCTAACTGATTGTTCCCTTGCCATACTAGTCCTACATCTAACAGCCCAGTGTTTTAATAGAAGACCTTCTTTCTGACTCTCACTCCTTAATGTAAAGCTATAAACACAGTAGGAAGAAAATGTCTATTCAGTTCCAGACGAAAAGAAATATTGATCACTTCTTAATTCAACCAAGCTAACAAATGTTATGCGTAGGTAAACATTTACCCCAATGTTGGGTGTCTTTTCACAGATTAAGTATAAGCAATCAGCTGAAATGGAAAAAGCCAATTTCACTTCTGTTGTTGATACCCCAGAGATCATTCATGCCCAGCAAGTCAAGAACCTTTCAAGCCAGGTAAGGATGTTCTTTAGGACAAAGGTCTCCCATAATCCCTAAGGAATTTTTTTTTCATATCACAGTTTTCCCTCAACAATAGAAGACTTTTATTTATGATGCAGGTTTGAGTCAAAGTTGAGTTTTCTGAATCAGACTTAAAATAGGTTGTAGAAGGGCTTGGGTATAGATATCTTGGTGGTAGCCTGGGTTCTAGTCTAAGCACTGAAGGAAATAAACTCAAAAGGTTGTATCAAGGGAATTTTAAAGTATTGATAGACTTTAGCATGATTCAACAATTGAGTGAATGTTTAGCATCTGTTATAATGTGACTATAAAACATGTGTGCAAATATGGAAGTCACAAAGTAGACAGCCCACATTTGGATCCCCAGTGTGTGACAAGACTGAGATTGAACCATCAACTCACACAACCTAGACCCTGAGGCATCCCATGCTAGATAATGTCCAGCTTCCTGCAAACCAAGTGACAAGAAGCAGGAAAGCTGAGTGGTGTGGCACACACTTGTAATCTCAGCACTCTGAGAGGCAGGCCAGGAGGCCAGCCTGAAATTATACAGCAAGACCCTGTCTCAAAACCAAATTAAGTAAATACAAAAACAAAAAAGAAACAATAGCAACAATAAAAAATAAAAAAGGATCTATCAGTGAGTTCCAAAAAGCAGCAAGTTATGTCCGACCCAGTTATGCTTATAACCCCCTATAATGGAATTTTGAAACTAGCAAAGTTGAAGTAGGTTCAGGAACTTTAGCAGAGCCCCCACTTACCAGGCTGGTGTCAGAGAAGGCGCTAGAAGCACCTTCTAGGTCTGCTTAGTCCTGCAGCCAGGAGCCCTGAACACACTGACTTGACACTCAGTGATTTCTCCCTGCCACTGGAGAGGCTGACTTTCTGATGTCCCTGTTTCTCTCCACCTGTCTGGCTCCTGGCACAGCAAGAAGTAGTGCCATTGGAGGCTCCATCTTCTTCTCAGGCTCCTTGGCAGTGACCTTCTACCTATGGACCAGCCAGCAAAGACCACCCTCTGCCAGCTTTGTCCAATAGCAATGTTATTAATGCCTGGCCTCATTTCCCCCTTGCTGATGAGAGTGCTCTGCTTTCAATTCCCTGACATACCTGCACAGTCAGGAAGCACGAGGAACCTTCCCTCTGCTGAGCTGGAAGGACTGACTATTTTAGGTTCACTGGCCAGCATTCCTGTGGTGTTCACCTTCTTTATTTCTCGAAATCCTTTCCCAGAAAAAGTACAAGGAAGATGCAGAGAAATCTATGTCATATTATGAGACTGTTTTGGACACTCCAGAGATGCAGAGAGTCCGAGAGAACCAAAAGAATTTCAGCCTTGTAAGTTTCTGTTGCCTCTGAAGTCCAGCTCACTTATGGGATCAGGAAGGCTAAGGAAGGTGGCTTTGGGAACACATACCCTACTTGGGCATCTCACCTGCAACAGGACTGTTGAGTAGCCCCTCCCACTCTATCCTTACCCTTGGGGAAGGTGCACTTGAGTCTTCTCTGGGCTCGCCATGTGTTTTAATCCCAAACCAGGTTAGTCCCACCTGCTGCTCCATAGGTGGCTTCCTGTCACTGAACACAAATCATTACCATTTACTGATGACATGTCCTTCTCAAAGTTAAAGCTAAGCAAGAAATACTTTTTAAAAATTTTACACATTTTAGGTTCTTAAAATTGAGTTTCTGTGGCTGGGGCATGTGTAGCTTGGTGGTTGAGGACACACTGTCACAGGTGTGAGACTCCAGGTTCAATTCCCAGCAAACCTCTAGCAAGGCCCACCACTAAAGTTAGTTTCTCTGTAAAATTCTTATTAAAGAGTTTACTTTTGCCTATCAGATTGTGACTGTTGTGGCATGGGCTTTTCCTAATGTACAATTTTAACTTCCCTTCCACAATATAGAGTTCTTATAAAACATGTAAGACAATGTTGAAATCTTAACAAGATATTTACTCTTTCTTCATAGCTCCAATACCAGTGTGACCTTAAAAACAGTAAAGGAAAAATTACAGTTGTTCAAGACACGCCAGAAATACTGCGTGTTAAAGAAAATCAAAAGAATTTCAGCTCGGTATATTTACTATTTACTTTCCATTTAATGCTAACCTAATAATTCCATTCTACTTCTTTATAAAGTACATTAGCCTCACACTGGCCACAGGCAATTAACATCTAACTCCCCCAGATAATATCGGTAGGTACTTGTTAAATTTTTCCATAATTTGTCCCAAAATCATTAGCCTCACACTGACACAGGCAATTAGCATCTAACTTTCCCAGTTAATACTAGTGGATACTCATTAAAAATTTCCCTTACTGTGTTCCAAAATTGTTACTTTTGAGAACATTTGAAAGAATAACTTAAATCTAACAAAATAACTTTTCTTTTTCTTTAAATTTCTAAATCTCAGACAGTAGCGTGTGTTGTCTTGTTGCAAAATAGCAGATTTCTTTTGACAATGTGATTTATTATCCCTCCCCAAAATAACTGACTGACTTTGCGTTTCTTTAATGAGTTCTGCTGTTAATAAATGCTTTCTGGTTTTCCCTCATCCCATATTAATATGCTATGATATTCTTAAGAGAAATCTCAAGGTCTGACAAGTGACTAGTGTTGGGTATGTGGTTTGGGACACTGATATAGATGGGAAGTCGTCACTTCCTTTCTTGCCTAGGTACACTGTACAGTGTCTATGTTTTTACAGAAGCTGTGTGTCCTAGCCTTTCTCCAGGAATTGTGGGGTTTCCCTCCATCTGTGTAACACTCTCCTGATTCTGAATGCTCAGGTTTTATATAAAGAGGATGTCTCCCCGGGAACAGCAATTGGAAAGACCCCTGAGATGCTGAGAGTGAAGCAAACGCAGGACCACATCAGCTCGGTAAAGACACAGCAGACTTGCTCGCTGTATTTTCTGCCTCCCTTTGATAAATCAGTGACTTCCAGTTAGACTCAAAACCTCTGTCACCAGAGACCCCCTAAAACCACCATCACCAGTGGTTACGGTCAGTTCACACTCTGCACTTCTGCGGAGGTTCTATGGAAGAAGAGCATAGACATGGAAAGCAGAAGCTTTTGAGAAAATAGGACATGTCAGGGTCAAAGAATGAACCTTCTCAGAGACACATAGGTGTCTATATCTGCCCTAATCAAACGAACTGTTGGGTATAAAACACTGGTGGGTAGTAAGCCACTTGCTAGTTTTGTGTTTCCTGGCTTTAGTGACCCCTGAGGCAATCTTAGTTCAAAAAAGTGTTAAATGGAAAAATCTAGATGCAATTCCTTCTTTGATATCATGATAGAATTTCATGGCTTCTCACTTCATCCCACCAGGAACATGAATCATCAATTCCTTCAGCATGCTCCTGAGTACATACTGCCTGTCCTCACTAGCTGTCAGCATTATCAGATTTCAGTATTGCATTGTTTGTGTTCAAGTAACCCTTAAATTTACTTAATAATGGGTCCAGAGTGTAAGGAGAGTGATGCTGGCTGTTCTGATGAGCCAAAGAGAGGCTACATTGTGCTTCCTCTTTGTGAAAGATGAAAGCTCTCTGCATAGCAAGAAAAAAAACATATTCTGAGATTGCTAAGATCCATACTAAAATGACATTTCTGTGAAGTTTTAAGAGAGGAAAAGAAATCCATATTAGTTTTGCTGTCACACCTCAAACTGCAAAACTGAAGGTCGCAGTGCATGGTAAGTGTTTAGACCAGGACAGCCTGGTCTACATAAGGAGTTCTAGGTCAGCCAGAGGATATGGTGAGCCCCTATCTCAAAACAAATAGGCATAGTAGTATACATAGGCTTTGTTGGCACCCATCACTTAGGCACCCATGGGGAAAGGAATGGGTTCTGAGGATGTGTCCAGAATGGATAAGGAAGGACCTCTGTATGCAGTAAAGACAAGGGTTTCTAGCCTAAATACCCTTGTACCCAAAGAGACAAAGGATGTCAAATGTCCTCTCCTCCAGATTGTTCTTTTCTGATCCAGTATCAGAATATGACTTCACTGAATCTAAGGATAGAGCTTGTGGTACTTAAATTGTGATTTTAAAGACTCTAAGGAAGAGCCAGTTGTGGTGGCACACACTGTAATCACAGTAGTTCGGAAGCAGAGGCAGGAGGATTGCCACAAGTTTGAGGCCAGCCGGGGCTATGTAGCAAATTTCAGGCCAGCCAGGACTACATGGTGAGACAAATGAATTAAATCAAAACAATAGGAGAGCTGATCTTGGAATGTGACTCAGTGGTAGAGTGTGTACTAGATATGCCGAAGTCTTGGGGTTCAAGCCCCAGCAACCTAACCCAAATGTAGAACTACCAATCAAGCATACATATGTGGTAGGAAAAATAACTATTCAGCATGTACTAATTCCTTTGTCTTCCCATTTGCAAATAGGTAAAGTATAAAGAAGCAATCGGACAAGGAACTCCAATCTCTGACCTTCCTGAAGTGAAGCGTGTAAAGGAGACCCAGAAGCACATTAGCTCGGTAATGCCTTGTACTCTGCATGCATTTGTGTGGCTGGCTATCTCTCAACTGGTCCCCTAGTTCCACCCATCCCTTCTTCCTTCTGCCAAGGGCCTCCCATGCCTTGAGGATGCTGTGAATCCTCTCCAGGCCTCCTCAGGTTGCAGAAGAGAGCTCCATCAGGGAGCTTGTTCCCCTGGCACTCTCTATATACTGTAGCCTCTGTGTGGTACAAACTTCATTTAAATTCTTCTGTCCACCAGTCTGAAAAACCTAGGCGGGGGGTGGGGGGTGGGGGGTTCTGTGTTGCTTTGGATTGCAACTTCTTGCTTTTCTCTAATTTTGTTTTGTTCTGTTACACAGTTTTACTACCTTGCTAGATAAACAAACAGAACTTTGTTACCAAAATGATAGAGTTTAAAAGATTCCCAAGTTTCTTAGCAAAATGAAAATGTTTGTTGCTGAGTCAATGACAAAAGTCTACAGGATTGGTGTTATGCCACACCCTATGTACTAGTGTACCATAGAATCCATTATTTTAAACAAATTCAGTCTTTTCTATAGGTTGAAAGTTCTTAATATTAGGAGGGATGGAGTCAAGAGGTTTAGAAAGTGGAAGTCCCTTTCTCTTTTTGTTAAAATTTATAGTCCTTTGATACTACTCCCAAAAACAGGGATTTAGGTCATGATTTAGGGAAGTGAGGACATAGTTCTGTGGTAGAGTGCTTGCCTATCATGCACAGCCCCTGAATTCAATTCCCAATACTGAAAAAATAGACATGTGATAAAAAAGATCAACAAGCAAACACTAACTTACTTGATCCAGCAATCATTACTAAAAATTTCAGAGAAAGATGCTCTTCCTGAAAGTAAATTGATTAGGCCTCCTCATATCACATGTACTTATAAGACTAGAAATACCCAAGAATTATCATTAAAGTTGGACATGGTGCTGCATGCTTGTAATCCCAACAAAGCTGGGAAGCCGAAACAGGAGGACTACTAGGAGTTCAAGACCAGTCAGGGCTACATAGCAAAAGACACTATATAAAGATAAAAGATAAAAGGCAAAAATTTCCATTGGGAAATATGTAACAAAATTTTCAATGACTCTGAAGGTGTAAAGACATGACTAGAAAACTATAAAGCAAACAACTCCTGTGTTGAGTATAAATACATGGATCAAGTATAGTCAAAGTTTTAATACTAGGTGCAATAAAATGGTTGGGGGTGCTGGCAGTCGAACCCAGGGCTTTCCACATGCTAGGCCAAACTTTTTCTCATTAAAGTTGTTATCACTATTTAATGCATTTTAGGAATGTACTAAATATTGGCTGTGGAAAATGCAAACTTTTGTGTCCAGTTTTCAAGGTGTAACATTTCTACTTTAAAGAGAGAACAACTATTTACAAAATGTGTTTCCCTTCATCCTTGATGAACTCAAGAAAGCTGGCTTGTTTTTATAAGTGCTTACCAAAAAACCCACATGTAGTTGTCATTTAAAGGATTTATGGTTATCTTGCCTTTTGGGTATTCTAATTATTTTCTGCAGGTTATGTACAAAGAAAACTTGGGAACAGGCATTCCAACTACTGTCACTCCAGAGATTGAGAGAGTCAAACGCAATCAAGAGAACTTTAGCTCGGTATTTACAAATATAGCAAATAAATTATTTCCCATAAAAACTACCAGAATAACCTTTCATTCTGTTTTTAAAAATAACATCTTAACGACATTCTCTGTGTGTTGCTTTGTGTGTTATCTTATCAAAACCATCTGACGTTCAGAATGATCCACTCTTCCCGTGGCCTTAACATATTTAGCAACTGACACGCGTGAGCACTCAGATCTGAAATGCTGTAAATAGCATTAACTAAGATTCTCCAAGATACTCACATCCTACAACTCAGTTTCCTACTGTACTTTTCTGTTCTAAGATATGGTGTTGTAGAGTTCATCTGTAAAATTATGACATACAGAAGTGTTACCCTGACTAAATATTACTTACCCACTTTTAAAACCCCCTCCTTCCCACACCCAACTCCCTTCCTCCCTCCATCTTTGTGCTTGTTTTGAATGTCTTTTGGGTACTTTCTTGTATCTCACAGGTTTTGTACAAAGAGAATTTGGGGAAAGGAACCCCTACAGCTATCACTCCAGAGATGGAGAGAGTCAAACGCAATCAAGAGAACTTTAGCTCGGTATTTCTTAGAGAAAAAAAACCCAACCCTTAATTCTTATTAAAATAACCTAAAAATATTGTCTTTAATGCATACAAATATAAAATTACTAAATTCATATACTGAAAGGAATGATACCAAATATTAGTTCATTTTTCAACTCAAATCTAATTTAATTCTTAATATTGGTGTGAATTTTAACCGTTTTCATTAAAACATAGCTATTTATCACCTTCCTTAAAAACTTATAATACTCAGTTTCCTTCCTCCAATTCTAACTGGGGTGACACAGTCAAAAGTAAAATCTAACATCCTCTGAAAGAATGACACTAATCAGAACTGTATTTGTATTTATTGTGGTTAGTTGATGTTTCTTTGTGTTTGTAGCTTTCCCCAAAAGGCTGTTTTTCTTAAATATCTTCATTTAAAAACAACACAGCAATTCATGGAAACTTAGAAATACAAATTTACTTGTGTCAGTTTTTTGTATGCTATATGAGTGAGCTTTCCTTTGGAATATAGTCAAGATCATTGAAAGCTAAGTTAATATTTATCTTTTAATGTTTATTAATATTTAGTCTCCCTAAGTCCTCTCCTTTTTGTTTTCTAATTCAGCATTGCCCATAACTCATTATAGATGATAATTTCAGTTACCTTAAATGAAGTCTAATCCAGTATATTTGAAAAAAGGTATATTGAAAAAAAAAAATGTCTTTTTGAGACAGGGTCTCCCTGTAGTCTCACCTGGCCTGGAACTCACTATGTAAACCAGGCTGGTCTGACTCACAAAGATCTGCCTGCCTCTGCCTCCCCAGTGCTGGGATTAAAGGTGTGCACCACCACACCCGGCTGACAGATCAAATATATTATGTGTAACTAAATGTACATAGGTGGTCCACAGTTGCTTTGTTTCTTAAAATTGGTTCTTCTTTACCTCTTTGCAAGAACAAGTAGAGATTTTTTTTAAGGTCAAGTCTACCTAAAAGATGAATCCAGGCTGATATGATTGTTGGTTTTGTGCACACAGATATTGTACAAAGAGAACTTGAGCAAGGGGACCCCCCTACCTGTCACTCCAGAGATGGAGCGAGTCAAACGCAATCAAGAAAACTTTAGCTCGGTATTTTCAAAGAAGTTCCTTTAACTCCATATTAAAAACAATAATTTCAATTAAAAAATTAAATTCTCACTATTTTTCCCTTTATAATAATTTAACAGATCCTTTAAAAAAATTCTCACCAATGAAATCCTTCTGTTCTGGATATTTTCCTTACTCCTTAATTCTAATACTCTAGACTTTCTGTAATACTCCCCTAAAACTTGGAATTTGTTCCTTTCCTTTCCATCTTTCTGTTAGTGCCGGCACTTTTGAAGTTAACTGATTTCCCAAAACAACCCAAATATAGAGGCTCCTATTTACTTGAAATCTTTGTATCTGATGTTTCCGGGTTAGTGCAGCAAGAAAACACTCTGAATCCAAGGCTGAGTGTGAGAACAACTGCTCATCCTTAGAAACGATGGTGACCTTGCTGTACACCTCACCCGGATAAACAGCAAAGAGAACCCCTTAGCACTGGGAGAACTGAAGCCTTATTTTGACAGTTGACCTAAACAACTCATTTTATGACTAGAAACCCAGGCCCGCTGGTGTTTCTTTCTTAAGACAGGATCTTACTACATAGCCCAGAGTGACTTCAAACTCAGCCCTCCTCAGGCTCCCTAGCTCTAGGATCACTGGCACATGCTACTGTGCCCACATTTTCTTTTAAACATAAATCAAAGCAGATAATGCACTTATATTTATTGCTTTTTCCTTTATTGTTAATTACTCTTCCTGAAAAACTTTGTAATACCTAAATAATCGGTGCTGTTTATATATAAGGAATTTATACTTGAAATGGAGATTCAAATATCATGAGGAAAATTTAGTCATATCTACTTTCAGGAAGGAAGGTTAATGTGAAATGTGTTTAATTTTCAGTTTAAGTATTTTCTAACAATGAAATCAGTAACTTTCTTTGATCCCAGTTTTTGTTTTGTTCTTAATTACTATTTACTAACAACTTTTCAATTTTTAAAAGTTTTCCTTGTATGTTGATATGTCTTTTAAAATTCCATGTGTGTTCATTATTCCTTTTTTATTGAAAGGCATCCGTTTTTAAAATTATATTTTAATTGTTTCTATATTACAGTATGTTATTGTATATATCTATTTGCATCTAATGATTTAATGGTCCTAAGCAACTTTTTCTTGCTTAAGTAATGATTTGTGTTAATGTTACACAGGTTGCATTAGACAAAATTGTCTGGTAGTGCCCAGGCCTTTTAGATGCTGTGGGAAAGACCATATATATTAAAAGTTGACTTTTAAACTTGACCATCTCTATAACCTTCTCAAAGAACAATATTGTCAAAGGGCATAGCTTTAGTCTATAATCTTAAACATGTTATGCTATTAGACAAACGTTTTATGTAGGAAAAGCTGATCTGATCAAAAAATAAATATTTTTAAAAAAATAACTATTTCTATTGCACACTGAGCATCTGAGTGCTCTTATATAATTATTTGTATTTCTCCCTGAATTCTTGACACAGGAAACAGCTCTCTCTCTCTCTGGGTTAGTGTAGAGAGATGAGCAAACAAACTGGTACTGTGTGTCACTGGGTCTGCCCCTGCACAGAGCAGTGGGTGTGGTAATTCTCTGTCTGCCTGGGTGTCCTGTAGTCTTATGCTTAGTTCCCTGCAAGATCATCCAGGGGCTGTTTTGACTGCTTGTGTTTTTCCTCCGATGCTTTCTTATGTCACGCAGGTGTTGTACAAAGAGAACCTCGGAAAAGGGATTCCAATCCCCATCACTCCAGAGATGGAGCGAGTCAAACACAATCAAGAAAACTTTAGTTCGGTATTTAAAATTTAAAAAACAAAAACAAACAAAAAAAAAACCTTTAAGTATTTTTAAAATGCTTTAAAAAGATTAATGGCTAGATTTTTTAAAGTCTAATTAACTTATCCCTGTTTTAAAAAAATTTACCTGTTTTATACCCAACTTAATGCTGCCATTTCCTACGAATCCATTTCCTCTCCTTGGTTAATATGATCCTTTGACCTAATTTTTTAAAGTATTCAGTAATACAGCTTAAAAAAATAACATTCTCAGTGTGTAAGCATCCATATTTACCTTGCTTTGGCAAATTTGATGTGACTATAAAGCTTTAAAAATGTTATTCTGTGAGGATCTGATGATTGGCTTATCATTCTAACCTGACTGGTGCTTACACAGTCATTCTCAACTTTGTTTTTTTTAGTATCTTGTCCTTGTTCCCTCATTGCCTTCAAAGTAATTGCTCCCAATATGTTCACCCAAACTAAATGTTGAATACTCTAACTTCTTTGAAAGTCAAGAGAGAGGATTTGTGCCTATGAACCTTCCCATATATAATACTTAAAAAACCCAAATATCCTTCTGTGTTTTGTAAAAACGACTTCCTTTTGCATCAGTCTCTTGTCTATGTCTATTTTTATCTCCTCCTAACAAGCTGAAGATGACTAAATTCTCCACTCCATGGTCTTTTTCGTTGCTTGGTACTGTAGAAATTAGCTCAAACAAAAATAACACTTTCTTTTCCTGTTTCCTAGTTTCTGCCGCTCCTTCCTGCATTCCTTTGTCTTTAAGGATGTCTTTAGGATCATAGAGGTTCAACTTACAAGCTTTTGGTTATTTCCCTATTTCTAACTCATTCTCTTCCCTTTCCCCTTCCTCAGCAACTGCCCCCAAAGGGGGGTGGGGCGGTGATTGACTGCTCTTTTCGTTCTGCATGCTTTCTTATTGTTTAGGTGCTATACAAGGAGAACCTGGGGACAGGAACGCCAATCCCCATCACTCCTGAGATGCAGAGGGTCAAACACAATCAAGAAAACCTTAGCTCGGTATTTTGGAAAGAAAGGGTGGGAAAAGACACCATTTAACTTCAGAATCAAACTGATCTTTAGCAATATCATTTAAAACCTCTTCCCTTCCTTTGCTTCTAATGTATCTTACTTTGCAAAAGGTTATTGTCTCTCATCTCTATGTTTGATTTTATTTTTTACTTCAAATATTTTAGTTTTTGTAGATAACAAAACCATGTTCTAACCATCTCAAAGCACTGTAATTGCTTAGGAAATTCCATGCTCACAGTGGTGTGATTGAATCTAACAGCCTTCCTCAGCAGCTTAGCTCTCCTCAGCCTCCCCAGCCCAGTTAGCAAAGTCGCACAGGGCATCTTGGCAACTCCTGGCTTCAGGACTGCTGTGCCCTTTTGAAACAGAGAAGTTGACCTCACCTTTAAAACTTCACAGCAAACAAAGCATGACTTACGTTGTTTCTCTGCCACTTTCTTGTCGTACAGGTGTTATACAAAGAAAACATGGGCAAGGGAACCCCTTTACCCGTCACTCCAGAGATGGAGAGAGTCAAACACAATCAAGAAAATATTAGCTCGGTACTCTGACAAGAAAAATAATTACTTCTTTAATGATTTTAAAACACTACTGATTTAAAATAATGCATATTAATCCTACTTTTTAAAGATAATTTAAATTGTTAAATTTTCTTGACTACAGTTATCATTCTTTTCTGTAGGACCATTCCTAGCCTTAACTTCTTAACAAAATTGCTTTAATCTGTAATTTAATGTTCTAACATCAAAAAGTAGCAGGTTTTCCTACAAAATAGCCTTTTGCTCATCTCTTCCCAGACTTACTGTCTTTTACACCCAAGGTCTCTTTGTTTTGTGTGCTTGTGAATCATCGGGTGGGTTTGTGTAATTTGGGGAGGATAGTGTGTATAATAGGGCTCCTTCTGGAATACTGGTGTTTGATGATTTGGAATTCTGATTTACCCTGCCAGATTTGAGTCTTTTGCAGTACAGAGGATGGAAGCCAGGCCTCACATGTGCTAAGCATGTCAGAACACAGCTACATTCCCAGTCCCACCCTGACAGATTTAGGAAAAGAGATTTTGGGAAAAAATAGCTCCCGATCCTCTCTTTTATGGATAATTGATATAACCTAAGATCCCGTAGTGTTTTTTGCAGTTGAATAACAATTTATTTAAAAAGCAAGTGTCACCAAAAGGGCTTTTTGTCCTAACAATCTTAAATTTTGTTGTCCTTTTTGTTATTATTATGATCTTTGTTACCTTTAAGAAACCATTTCCTTCAAGCCTGTGCTCTCTGGTATTAATCTGTTTACGAATTACCAGGGGGATTACCTGGAATCCGTGGAGGGCTTTAGCTTTTAGTAGTGAGCAGTCTCCTATTGCTCAGCATTTACACCTCCTACAGGTTTTTACAATCCACCAGAATCACCAGGAGGCTTGTTAAACCAGGTTTCTGGGTCTTGCCCCCACTCCCTGTTTCTCCTTCAGTAGCTATGGTGTGGGGCAGAGAACATGAATTTCTAAATTCTCAGCTGTCACTGACCAGCAGTCCAAGGACTCTGCTTTGAGAACTACTGGAATAGAGTCTTTCTTAAGTGCCATTTTCCAAACCTCGCAGGCTTCCTAGAAGGACGATGAGGACAGCCATTGAGGTTGAGGGTTTATTATGAGAAGTGTTTTTGTTGACTGATAAGTATGACATGTTCAGTGATTGAAAGACGAGGAACACAAAGGATAGAAAGGAAGAGCAGGAGAAACACTGCCTTGTCTGATGGTCTGTAGTTTTACTGATAAATCTATGTACTACAAAAACATTTCTTAAGCCCATGTTGTATTGGGGCAGCTCCAACCTTAGTGATTCAGGCCCACACAGTAACTCCCATTTAGAGGCTGTGTCAGGAGGTTGACAGTCATACGCTCGTGACAAAATGGTGATAGGGTTACCTCCTTTCCCCTGAAATCTGCAGAAGTTTCAAGGCAGAACTGTACCCTGTAAACACATGACTTACTTTAACTACAATCAACTTCCTCTGAAAACATAGACTGCTATCTAACCTTACCGCCTAAATGATTTGGCACCCAGGACCTCATCAAAAGTTAATCTATTCCATTTCTTCTTTTGGTAATTGTAATTCTTTTTTATTTTTGTCTCCTTTTGGCTTTTTGGATCCGTTGGACTCGTTTAGGTTTTGTACAAAGAAAATGTGGGGAAAGCCACCCCAACCCCTGTCACTCCAGAGATGCAGAGAGTCAAACGCAATCAAGAAAACATTAGCTCGGTATTGTCTTGAGAAATGAAAGTGCTTTTAATTTTACAAATTAACCCCTGCAGTTTGGCCTGCTCTTGATCCCATCCAAGGTTAAAAACAAATACAATGCCAGTTACATTTTAATCTTCCCTAAATATCATAGATTTACCATTGCCATTAACTATTTTTGCTTTCTTCTTGAGAGCTATTCTCACTAATAGTAACAGGTTACATCTAACGTCTCCCTCCCCCCAGCTGTATTATATTTAATAGCAAATACTGCCTCCTAGTGACTTTCAGGTACAACTTTGTATCTCACAGGTACTATACAAAGAGAACATGGGGAAAGCAACACCCACACCCTTTACTCCTGAGATGGAAAGAGTCAAACGCAATCAAGAAAATTTTAGCTCGGTATTTGAGAGAAAAAAATAAATCATTAAAATTTTAACAAGCTCTGACCATCATGGCTATACCACTAATGCATCTCACAGTTCCTAAGACCTCCATGTATCTTTGAAAATTCTTCCTTGGCCATTTGAAAACAACATCCCTATCTTCCTAGCTCAGACTGATTTCACTCCTCTCTTACCTTTTGCTTTCTACTGTAACATTTTAATGGCTTTCTCTTCCTGAGGTGTTTCATAGTGTGTGATAAAATTGAGCCATAACACCAGCTAAATGATGATTTTCAGAACTGTTTTTTTTTTCTTTTGCTCTCTGATGTCTGGATACTCTCTTGGCTCCTCTAGGTATTGTACAAAGAGAATATGAGAAAAGCAACTCCAACACCTGTCACTCCAGAGATGGAGAGAGCTAAGCGCAACCAAGAAAACATTAGCTCGGTACTTCCCAGGATTCAAAAGAGCAGTGCTGCGACAAGTTGGAATTAACATTTTAACATCATAAAAATATGCCTTTCTCACCCAATTGAAAAACACACTAAAATTTAAAGACAGATACTACAACATCTTGAAAAATAATGTTTTAACATCATTAAAACATGCACCTCTTCAACTGAAAATTTGCACTAAAATTAACACAACTGTGCTTTTCAATTCCAAATGATTGTACTAAAGATAATTGTCAATAGTTTTCCTCCTCTCATACTTTACTCTGAAGTAGTTTTTCATAACCAATTATAACAAATTGACTCCTTAACACCATCCATCTTCTGTTATTTTTAAGGTATTTTACGAAATGGGTAATACCCAGAAATGAATGTCTTCGCTGGTTTTGATACTTTGAGTTTTGTGTCTGGAAAACTTTGATTTTGGTTTTAACATATTGGTTTATGTAATCTTGACATTACCTCAGAAAAATGATTATCTCCTTAAAGGACAGGTCCTTCAAATTCCTTTCAAGGTCAGATTTAGTGCTAAATACCATCAAATACTCTAGTGCTAAGACTACCTTCCTAGCAAATTCAAGAAGCCACTCTTCTCCTCTTTTTCAGAATTACACTGTGACCCTTCTCCTTTGGAAATGAACATTTCATTTTCAAAGTCAAAACAAGTTTTCTGTCTTCTGATGCAAGCCTTATCTGTCCTTAGGCTGACCTGGTCCGCACTTGGTTCAGTGTCTGGATGGGTCCTGTCCTGTCTGTTGATTCAGATGTCTCTTGCCAGCTTCTTCCATCTGAATCTGTTGAAAAGTCTTTAAGAATTGCTGGGTGTGGTGGCATACACCTTTAATCCCAGCACTAGGGAGGCAGATGTAGGCAGATGTCTGAGAACGAGGCCAGTCTGTTTTATGTAGCGAGTTCCAGGCCACCTGGGGCTACTGAGGCTATAGGGAGACACTGTCGGAAGGGAGGGGGGGGAGGGAGGGAAGAAGGAAGGAAGGAAGGAAGGAAGGAAGGAAGGAAGGAAGGAAGGAAGGAAGGAAGGAAGGAAGGAAGGAAGGAAAGAATAGCATGACTGGTACTCACTCATGGTCTCTCCTCCATAGGTCCTTTATTCTGACAGCTTCCGGAAACAAATACAAGGCAAAGCTGCTTACGTGCTGGATACCCCAGAGATGAGACGGGTGAGAGAAACCCAACGGCACATCTCAACAGTAAGGAATTATTTTCTTTATTTATGTGTATGTCTCTGCCTGTCTGTATGTGCACCATGTGCGTGCAGTGAGCAGAGGACACAAGAGGCCAGTGGATCCCCCGAAACAGGAGTTACAGCTGGTTGTGAGTTGCCTGATGTGGGTGTTATGAAATGAACCCACGTCTTTTGCAAGAGCAGCAAGTGTTCTTAATCATTGAACCCTCTCTCCAGCCCCAGGAATTCTTTAGGATCGACTGGCCAGCCTATTGGAATATATTCAAAGGGAAACAGTCACACTATCATTTTTTCACAGAGCAAATTTATATTTCAGGTGAAATATCATGAAGACTTTGAGAAACACAAAGGCTGTTTCACACCAGTGGTGACAGATCCTATCACTGAACGAGTAAAGAAGAACACACAGGACTTCAGTGACATTAACTATCGAGGTATTCAGAGAAAAGTGGTAGAAATGGAACAAAAACGGAACGACCAAGACCATGAGACTATTACAGGTAACTGAGGACAAAAGTGATGTAATTATACCAAAGCCAAGTACGAACACACAAATCTGAGAAAGTCAGTCCCTGCTAGCCCATTTGCAAGGCTGAGGACTCAGGGGTATCTTCTGCTGTCTGTTCTCTGGCCTGTGGTTGTCATAATTCCTGCTTTGGTTTTCAAGTTACTGGAGGGATACAAAAACACCTGCTCTGGCTTTTCTTTCAGGTTTGCGAGTCTGGAGAACTAACCCTGGTTCAGTTTTTGACTATGATCCAGCAGAAGACAATATTCAGTCCCGAAGCTTACACATGATTAATGGTATGCAAACCTTGAGAGGCTCATCATCTCCTGGGCTCCAGTCAATGTCTGTTAGGCTCTGAAGTTTCTTCCCTCCAAGGTTTTCAATCTTCTGAGTTGCTCACTGGCTAGTAAGCCAAACCAGAAAAGTTCATTCTAGAAGATTTGGGTTAAGTGCCTCTTCATGCCCCCTTCAGATCCCATCATTATCGTTTCTGTGTTTTCCTGGAGAGAAAACTTAGTCTTTCTAGTAGAAAAATCATGGCCTTAAAATACATAGGCAAAAGGAACACGGGCCTTCAGGAATGTTTTGAACATCAGGAGGATGTTCAGAAAAGAAGCTGCACATTCTCGACTGTCCATGTAACAAGTAAAGAGTGTAGTAGCACATGCCTTTAATCCTAGCACTTGAGAGACAGAGGCAGGTGGATCTCTATCAGCTTGAGGCCAGCCTGGTCTACATGTGAGTTCAAGGAGAGGAGAGGAGAGGAGAGGAGAGGAGAGGGTGTGGAGTTGTCCTTCAAAGCACAGACAGAGCTAAGGAGTTCACCCAAAGGTAGAATGCTTGCCTTGCATGTGCAACACCCTGGGTTCTGTCTCAGCCCCCACAAATAAAAAAGAGGAAGGAAGCAAGGAAAGAGAGAAGGAAGAAGAGGAGAGGAGAGGAGGGGAGAGGAGAGGAGAGGAGAGGAGAGGAGAGGAGAGGGAGCCACAGAGAGAGACAGAGAGACAGAGAGAGACAGAGATGGGGTGGGGGAGGGATGTCACACTGTGCTGTTCCTTAAAGGTTTATACGGCAGTCTACAGATGAAGAGAGAGCAGTAAATCCTGTTCCACCCTGACATGTACAGTTTTAATGTTCTGTTCACGATATCATGTGAGACACAGGAAGAGTATCTACATCCATTTGGAAGTGAGAAAGGCCTTCCTGGAGAAGTCAAAATTGGAGTGTGAATGTGACTGCTGTCTATGAAGTGAGCCAGTAAAATGGACATGGGTGGGAAGGAGCAGTCATTCAAGACACTTGGTTTTGGTTGTGCCACTTAACTGTTACCTTTGGCCATTTACTTAAGCACTTACCTTTCTAACAACTACACACTGGAAGAACTGTGAGGGAGTAAGCCATAGAAAATTATTTTAAATTATGCTTAGCAAAAAAATTAAAAATAAACAAACCTGCAACTGAGACTATTACTAACTGTAGACATTTCATCTCTGCTATGTCTCTCCCAGCGCAAGCCCAGCGCCGGAGCCGGGAGCCATCCCGATCTGTCAGTGCTCTGAGTCTCAGTGGGGGTGAGGAGAAATCGGAGCACTCTGTGGACCACCACCTCTCCTCTTACAGCGATGGAGGCGCCTTCTTCTCTGCAACCTCCACAGGTACAAGTAAGCCTTCCCAGATGGGCCCAGTCTCACACACCTGTGATCCCTACATTTGGGAGACCCAGGCAGGGTGGTAAATATGAGGCCAGCCTGTGCTACGTAGAGAAACTTTGTCTCAAGCAAACAACAAAATCCAAGCAAGTGGATGGTACTGACTGATAATGATGGCTGGTTATTAAGAGACGCTGTAAGTTTTAAACAAATTTCTGAGAAAAGACTAGGAATTGTGAAGAGTTTTATGAAGTTAGATGTTTCATTTTCATAATTTTATTAGAATCTTCTCTTCCTGGAAATCACTGACTTGAAGAAAAAGACAGCTCAAATGCTAAGCACAGGCTAGATGTGTAGCTCCATTCCTTTTACAAGCCTTTTCTTCCTTCTTGCAGCTTACAAACATGTGAAAACCACAGAACTGCCCCAACAGCGATCATCTTCAGTCGCTACCCAACAGACAACACTGTCTTCTATCCCGTCGCACCCATCCACTGCCGGAGTAAGTAAAGAACAGCTGACAAAATCACTAAGGCCATTTTTCTGTCTTTTTTTTTTTTTTTTTTTTTTTGAGGCAGGGTCTCATGTATTTATGTAGTCCAGGCTGGCTTGGAACTATGAAGCTGAGGATGACCTTGAACTCCAGAAGGCAGAACTCTTCCTGCCTTCACTTTCCAAATGATGAGACTGCAAGTGTGTGTCACCATTCCCAGCTTTTATTTATTTGACAGTGCAAAAATAACTATATTTTAGTCTTTCTGTTCTTTTTAAAAAACAAAACACATAGCTTTTGTTTTAGATTATCTTTTGCCACGTATCATATGTGGGTCAATTTAAGAAAAGCAGCATTGACACCCAAACCCAAATTAATGAAAAATATTACTCAGTGATTAAAAGAATAATTAGCCAAGCATGGTGGCACATGCCTTTAATCTCAGCACTTGGGAGGAAGAGGCAGACAGATCTCTGTGAGTTCAAGGACAACCTGGTCTACATAGTGAGTCCCAGACCAGCCAGAGCTGCATAGTGAGACCCTGTCACACCCAGAAAAATCTTTTTTAATGTTTCTACAATAAAAAAGAAGCATGTTAGACTGAGTGAATACTTATAGCATACAAAACAACAAAATTAATACTTAACATAAAGCACTTTAAAATTCAACAATAAGCTATTCCTCCTCAAAATATAAAAGACCTAGATGGAATATCAATAAGCAGTTTATGGCAAAAGACATTCAGATGCCCTCCAGAAAATGTAAATAATAACCAGAGCATACAAATGAAGGCGATAAGTACACTTCTTAAGTATTAAGCACCACAGTATTGAACTCTTTTTTTTTTTTTTTTTTTTTTTTTGGTCTTTTTGAGACAGGGTCTTTCTGTGGTCCTACCCACTGAAATTTGCTACGTAGACCAGACTGGCCTTGATTTCACAGAGCTCCTCTTGCATCTGGCTTCCAAGTACTGGGATTAAAGGTGTGTGCCACCACACCTCACACCTGGCTAGTATTAAACTCTTAAAACACTTAAAAATAATTTACACATTACCATTGGACCTAACTCTTTCACCTTTAAAAATTTATTTAAGAAATTATTAGTCAGCTGGGTGTGGTGGCACACGCCTTTAATCCCAGCACTTGGGAGGCAGAGCCAGGCGGATCTTTGTGAGTTCAAGGCCAGCCTGGTCTACATAGTGAGTTCCAGGACAGCTGGGGCTATAAGGAGACCCTGTCTCAAAAAGAAAAAAAAAAAAGAAATTATTAGTCAAAAAAACCAAACACTGGGATGTCCATTATAGTGTTAAAAATGGCAATAACTGAATTTTAAAGAACGGAAATGGCTACATAATTATATTACTCAGACGTGAAATTCTGGGCAGCAGGCAAAAGGAAGGACAGGATTCTGATTTTGTGGAAAACTTCAAAGCCATATTAAATGGGAAGGATAAGAAAGAGGATAACATACTATTGCTCCGTTTATGCCGGGGAAAGGGGAAAGACTACTTGTGAATATAAATACATGTGTATATATTTTAGAATGCAAGAAAAAAAAATAGGTTATACCCCAAAACAACACTTGGCTTCTCCTAGAAAAATTCAGGCTATTTTTACTTATTATTTCTCCAAAATGTTACACTTTTTAAAATGTTTTTTTTTATTTTTATTTTATGTGTATGAGTGTATTGCTTGCATGTATGTAAGTGTACCTGTCATGCAATCCCTGCAGAGGTCAGAAGAAAGTGTCAGATTCTCCTGGAACTGGAGTTATAGATGGTTGTTAGCCACCATGTTGGTACTGGGAATTGAACCTGGGTCCTCAGCAAGAGTATCCAGTGTTCTTAACTGCTGAGCCGTCTCTCCAGCCCCCAAGTGTTGCACTTTTTAAAAACGATCGTGCTAGATAGCTTTTAGAAATCGTTACTAGTCGTATGCTTCCAAACTCCCAAAGTCAGAGATGGATGATGTGTCAACTTGAATAGTAATCAGAGATTTCCACCCCCTCCCCCCAAACCCAAGATAATATTTAAAGCCAAAAAAGGGTTACATAAAATATTTTGAAACAAGAGGCTGGAGAAATGGCTCAGCAGTTAAGAACACTGGTTGTTCTTGCAGACTAGGGTTTGAATCCCAGCACCCACATGGCAGCTAATAACTCCCTAATTCCAGTCCCAGGGGATCTGACAGCCTCTTCTGACCTCTGCGGGCATTGCACGACACAGATACACTTACCTACATGCAGGCAATACATGCATACACATTTTTAAAAAAAGTGAATCCTTGGTTATAAGGATTAACAACAAGGGTAGCACCAACCTGAATTTGAATAGACAGTTGCCTGGCAGGTGTCCTTGAGTTACTATTTTTATTTATTATTTTATTATTGTTATTATTATTATTGTGTGTGTACATGTTATGGGGGGGTTGTGTATGCCATGACACGTGTGGAAGTCAGAGGACAACTTTGTGAAGTTGGTTCTTTCTACCTTTTGTGGGCTCAGGAGATCAAACTCAGGCAGCCAAGGCTGGCAGGACAAGCACTGTTACCTGCTGAGCCCCTTAAAGTATTTTATTTTTTTGTTTTTGTATAGGGTTGTAGAGGCCTTTGTGCCAAGCTATCTGTAAGCCTTCTGTGATAGTATGATTGCTGTCCTAAGACTATTTCTTCAAAAGCTTCTAGCTTGCTTTCTTCAATTACAGCTTGACAAATCCATTTTGATTCTAACAACTTTCACATATAGCGTTGCATTGGTATTTCAAATGCTTTTCTAAAACACAAGATTGACCTCTTCAAAATAGATGAAAAGGCCCTAGTCACATATAATTAGCATATTCTCTTTATTTCTGTGAGGTACAAATACAATCTTATGAATATAAAATTTAAATAGTATGTTCATAATTCAAAGTGTACAATTCATTGCTTAACAAATTTATTCTAAATCACCACACAATGTTAGAATATTTTCATCAAAATTAAAAAGAAAAAAAAGGGGCTGGAGAGATGGCTCAGCAGCTAAGAGCACTGGCCGCTCTTTCAGAGGACCCAGGTTTGATTCTCAGCACCCACATGGCTTCTAACAACCATTTTTAACTCCACTTCCAGGGAACTTTGATGCCCTCTTCTGACCTCCAAGGGCATTGCACTATAGGGGTGTACTTATATGCAGGTAATATACTCATACACATAAAAATAAATAAAAAAAAAAACAAGAGAAAAGAAAAAGAAAAAAAAATGTACACATCAGCATGCATGCCTCATCCTCCCCCTTCTCCAACCAGTCCTAGGCATCCACTAATTTATTTCTTGTCTCCATAGATTTGCTGGGCTGTTTCACATAAATGAAATCACACAGTATGTGGGCTTTGGTTCACAGCTGCTTCTCCTTAATGCTTTGAAGCTAAGCCACATGGTATCATGTGACAGTATTTGTTTTATTGCCCAGTAATATTCCTTTGTATGGATATACCCCATTTTTGTGTGTTCATTTATCACTTGGCAGGCATCTGGGTTGCTTCCATGTTTTAACTACTATGGATAATTCTATAGTGAGCATGGGTGTGAGAGTGATTACAGACATGTTTCCACTCATACTGGGATACACACACCTAGGGTGAAATTGCTGGGTCACATGGTAACTCTGTATTTAACTCCGTTTTCCAAAGTGGCTGTAACATTTTCTACTCCCACCAGTGGTTCATGTAGTTCCCCATTTCTCTCCAGCTTCTCTAAAATCTACCTTCATCTTCTTCATTATCACCACTCTGGGGTGTGCGAAGTGGTATACTGGAGTTTGGATTGGCATTGCTGAAGATTAATGATTTTGAGCATCTTTTTCTGTTCTCCCCAGCAGATTGCACATCTTCTGTGGGAAGGTGTTTATTCATATCCTTTGCCTTTAAAATATTTTTGGTGTTGAACTGGAGTTCTCTATGTATTCTAGGTGTAAATTACTCATCAGTATATGATTTACAAATATTTTCTCTTATGCATTTTTACTCTCTTGGTGGTATCTGCACATTGTCCTGTGACATAAATGTGTGGAAATGATCTTACAGTTAGGTGTTTGGGTTATTAAAATCTGATGTATATTTCCCCTTCTGTTTTCATCCCCATAAATAGAAAATCTTCCGTGCTATGTATGACTATATGGCTGCAGATGCAGACGAAGTGTCGTTTAAAGATGGAGATGCTATAGTAAATGTTCAAGCAATTGATGAAGGCTGGATGTACGGCACTGTGCAGAGGACTGGCAGGACCGGCATGCTCCCAGCCAACTACGTGGAAGCTATTTAAGGAAGCATGTCAAGATTTCACATCTGTCTGCAGTATATACAGATCTGGCAGGCAACAGTTCAGTTGGGACTCCTGTTACCCAAGTTCTAAAGCTGCCTAGTGCTTTCCCTGTGTCAGTATATCACTCAGGGCGATATACTTGTTTCTATAGGAACCTCAGCTATTCTTCTAGAAATCAAATGGTAGTTATGACTGTCCAATTCTTACACAAGACTTACATCTTCATGATTTTCTGGTCTTGTACATGAAACTACAGGCAACAGTAAACCTATAAAAGTTCATTTTATCAAACTTCCTTTCAGTTTTAAAATAAGTTGAATTTCACAATAAAATTTTTTAAAGCTCCTGCAATGTTATAGTATTACTGAATCAACCCAGAGTCTTTCCCAATTATAAAAGTTTTAATGTCATTTTCTTTCTGAATATGCCAAACACAGTAAAAGAAAAATGGCAGATGTTTTTTCTTTGCTTACTAAATTCTAATGCTTGTATTTCAAATCTGATTTCTGAAGTTATAGTCAAATACAAACTGGTGAGAAACTAGTAACTAATAAAATCTGTAATTCTGCAACAAACTGCTAACAGACTGAATTTTTATTTTTAATGGTTTAAGACTTACCAATGAAAAAAATTAATAAAGCTTGTTAGTTACATAAAAAATTTTAATGTTCTGAGAAAAACACATAAGAGTAGGCATTCTCAAAATTATCAGCAAACTTCCCTTAAGAGCTTTAGCAACAGCTGTGGGATGCATGCCTAACTTGAGAGGATCCCCACCACCTGTGTGCAGTGGGTGGCAGGATGGGCAAAGACTTATGTGAAGGGCTAAGTGGAAAGACACCTAGTACTGAACGCCTTAATGTGTGTTAGGATCAAAGGCTGTGCCTGTACCATGATAACTATAGTTAATACTGCTGTCTCAAGCAAGCTCCTCTAGCCATAATTTGAGTTTTGGCAGTGCTAGAGACTGAACCAAGGGCCTTAGGCATAGGCCTCCTTTTCTCTCAACACTTTTCTTTTTCATGGTATTTGGAACCCCTGCCCTAATTGTCCCCCACCCAATTTAATCTACTCATACACACACACACACACACACACACACACACACACACACACACACACACACACAAAATGCCTGTAAAGTCTAATTTGTGTCTCCAAGTGTCCTTCAGTGTGGGTCCATCCACTGGAACCTGGTTAATTTACTAAGAGTCTCATGCTTGAAAGAAACTGTCTCTGCCCCTCCCAGCAGACATCTGTTGCCACAATTTCCTTAGGTGGGTTGGAGCTTCTTACCACTTTCTCATGTCTGTGTTGGAATTTTTTGCTGATCTGAGCTTGCATAGGACTTGTGTGCGCTGTCACCGTTGTGTGAGTTCATCTAAGTAACTGACCAGCTGCCTGGAAAACTGTTTCCTTGTGGTACAATCTTTCCACGCCCTCTTGCACAATGATCCCTGAGCCCTGGGAGGCAGAAGCTTGATAAGCGCTCTGCAGCCTTTTGTTCTCTGCACGTTGGCCAGGTTCTACTTTGAGACTCATGGACCTGAGTGCTCTAGTAAAGATCACACAGTAGCAAACAATCGAACACCTATATGCCAGTACTATGCCAGGTGCAGGGAGCCACATGATAAACAAGAAAGCTGGGGTTCTCAGAGTCCCAGGAAAGGCAGGCTATACACTGTTAGCTTTCGATTACTGTAACAAAATCCCCAAAATAACTTAAAAGAGTGAAGGCTTCTCTTGACTGAGTTTTGGAGATTTCACTCTACAATCAGTTGGTCCTGTTACAAAATGCAACATGTTTGCATCTTGGTGAGTGAAAAGCCAAAATAAACAGGACAAGAAGGTGGAGAAAGATTTATTACCTACACCAGGCAAGAAAAGCATGGGAATGTCTTACAGCCTTTTGGCATGTGGCAAACCAGTACATCATGACATGAATGTATGACAGAGGAAGCCAGTTCACCTGATGGTTAGGAATAAAACTGAAGAGACCAGGGCAACACACTCCTTTAAGGGCATGACCCAGAGGACCTAAGCCTTTCCTCTAGTCCCAACTCTTGAAGGTTCCATCACTTCCCAACAGTACCAGAAGGACAAAGTCTCAGTAAGTCTTGAGTCACATTTTAGATCCAATGACAGGTTCACTGTCACTCCTGTCTTCAAGCTTCATCCATACCTAGTAAAAATCCAAGTTAAGGTAAGCAATAATCCTATTGTGCAGTGTTGTGGTGTGGTTTTCTTCCTCTAGCCATGACATGATCACCATCTTGGAATAGAGATTACTTTGGGCCAGGTAGCCACAGCAATTAATTGAACAAAATAATACAGTTACAGTGGTAGCTAGGTCTGTGGGAATGGTAACTGAGCCTGCTGACATTCCCTAGTGGGAGGGAGAGGAAAGTCACAGGGGCCTCTCCTGGGTACAGCTAGGCCCCATCTTTCCTTCCTTCAGCTGTGATTTGGAGCGATAGGTGTCTACAGGAAGCCTAAGGTTAACTGAAAGCAGACTCTATGAAAAAGTTAATGTGACGTGCAGATAGCACCAATCTTTGTCAATATCTGAAAATATCTGTTGTATCAGTGCAAAAGACCCCACTCCCAAACTTCCTACTTAGGTTATAGATTTGTCATAAATTTACAGGTGTTAATACAAAGAAATTTTTAATTCTAGATTTTTCTTAAAGCCTGAAAAACTCTCAACATGTGTAGAGAATCACCCTGTACCTACCACCTAGTCTCCAAAGTATTTAATCTTGCTGGCTTCCTTTCCACCCAACCAGTGCAGTCCTCCCATTACCTTAAAGTGAATCCTATCAGTAATACTTCACTGTGCATCCCCCAAAGGACTCCTAACATTAACACTTTAAAATGGCAATCAGTCTGAACATCAAGACTTTCCCCTGATTTTTCCAGCTATCTGCTTGTTCTGTTTTTACCATACAATGGTGGTGACATCCATGGGATCACCACTACCACAAGCAAGATTACCAAGCTGCAGAAAACTCACACAGCTACTTAGATCATCTTCAAATTGTAATAAGGGGGAAGATTAACTTCTATAGATTTTAGTCAAAATTGATACCCAAATGTTTTGGGTTGTCTCATCCCCCCTCCCTTTCATACCTACATGAGATTAATCAAGTAAACCTGGTATCCTTTTAAAAAGGTAAATTTGGACCAACAGGCACACTGGGAAAAATGTGATAAAGACAAAGATTGGGGTGATGCTTCTGTAAGACACACATGCCCTAAATTACCAAGATGCTACCAGCAAACTAGAGAAGGCACAGCACAGATTCTTCCTTAGTCCTTAAAGAACTCCAACTCCGACACATTGATACAGTATCTGACCCCAAGCAGAGTCTATGGTATTGCCAGCAGAGCCATAGTAAACTAGTGAAGTTATCTTTCAGTACTCATTGTATTTAGGTCTATGCAACATGTAAAATGGAGTAAATCAGAAACCTAACAACAGATAGAAGGGAAGAATACAAATGACTAATAAAGCATGTAAATGGAATCTGTGGAGTGCTGAGATGCCTGTAAACACTGGCATTTTTATCATGCTCTTGTGACAGTAGCAAGAAATGCCTCCTTAAAAAAAAAAAAAAACTGGGCAAGAGAATAAAAATCTTTGGCCTGAGTGAAGAACCAACATTCCACTTCTGCCAGATCAATCACCTGGCCAGAGGACCACTCCTACAGAGACAGATGGAGGCTGGGCAAGTGCTTTTTTTTTTTTTGGTCTTTTTGAGACAGGGTCTCCCTGTAGCCCCAGCTGACCTGGAACTCGCTAAGTAGACCAGGCTGGCCTTGAACTCACAGAGATCTGCCTGCCTCTGCCTCCCAAGTGCTGGGATTAAAGGCATGCGCCACCACACCCGGCTTAAAAGTGCATTTTAAAATAACATCTCACTGGCAAATTATTACAACTAACTCCCAATGATTCCTGAGTTGTATTTTTTAAAAATTATTTATTTAATAACCACATACTTAGAAGAAGCATTTCATTACATCAGCATTGACATATTCAATTAACAATTTTCTGAGCTAGGCTGCATCTCTTACAAAATTGGCCGAGAAGTTGTATTTTTATAAAGCAAGATTGTCAACAATTATTAGGTACCTGGCACACTAAGTGGAGGTCTACCTCCCTCAAATATTGTATTAATAAATACACAATCTCATAGAACAGCACCCTCTTGTCTACTAGTGTCATCAATGAAGGAACTGATACATGTTAGAATTTCAATTTCGAAAAAAATTATCAAACATACTTTGAGTGTAAAACTAAGCTTTCTTCCACTTCATCAAGTTAAGAGTGGCAAAAATATTACTAATCAATAAATGACTAGTCTGAATTCTGCCAGTTTCTAAGTACATACTGTAAGGGCTATCACAGGGCATAGTGTTAAGATGGGTGGAAAGCAACTGATAACTCACCAATACAGAGAGCAAACTAAACTCTATTTCATAGATGTGATTGAACTTACTAGTGCCAGATGCTTCTCCCTCACACGAGGGTCCCCTAATATGGCAAAAACATAACTAGACGATGGACAGCTCAAGGAACAAAGGAGCATACTTGAGCTTGTGTTTCAGTTTATGTGTATTTGAACAGCAGTAAGAGAAGCACAAAAACCAAGATCGGAGATCTTGGAGTCTGAAAAGGTGTTCAGACTAGTTTACCACAGGCGCTGCAGGCTAGCCTGTCTGGCTGCTATCAGAGCAGGAAAGCAGCTAGCTGCAAGCAGCATACTGAACTGGCTAATACAACTATTTCTGTATAAGATGGATATTATATTATATATATTATATTACGAATACTTTTTCATCTGCTTCAAAATGTTAAAAAAACTCTTCCCAATAACTTAACAAACAAAACACCACCACTGCTGCCAACAAAACACTCCACAAAAAAACAGGAGGCATAGTTTATAATATAAAAAATGACTTGCCAGGCATGGTGGTGCATGTCTTTAATCCCAGAACTCAGGAGGCAAGAGGCATTCGGAATTCTGTGAGCCTGGTCAGCCTGGTTCACACAGCAAGTTCCAGGCCAGGTGGAGCTACAGGGAGACTCTGTCTCAAAAAACCAAAAGACTAAATACTGCCATATTTTGGTTTCTATAATTCATATCTGAATTTGTTTCTGTTAAGAACATTACTAGTCTGTAAAAATGCTTTAGATACTCAGTTATGTATAAAAAGTTATAACCCATTTTAGTTTCACGACACTATCATATTGACAAACTTTCTACTTTTATTCTTAAGACTCAAAGCTTCTTTTACTTAGAATCAGTTTTCTGTTGGGAATGTAAGCAGAGTATTGAGTTAATGTTTTGTTAATGTTTGAGACTGGGTCTTAACGCCTGACTCTCCTGTGCCTGCTTCCCAAGGCTTGAACTACAGGTCTGAGCCTCCAAACCCAGTTGATAATTTTAAAATAATCACTTGGGCTATTTATGGACACTAATTACAGTACTATCAAGATAAAAAGCCTTCAGGAATCATTGGCTATTTCCAAAATAAATAGGATTGCTTATTCTTACATGAAATGGTTTAATTGT